GGGGGAGAAATTTAGTGATTTAGAGCTTTTTTAGTTTTTAGCATATCATAGATGATGATTTTATATCATCCTAGACAATAAGACAAAAATAAAAACCCTAATTACAACATTTGGGTCATGTAAAATTGCTTAAGCAAGTTGTCTTGGATGATATTACCATCGTCATGGATGAAATGGTTAAATTAGAAATACGTAGCTGTTAAACTCATTTAGGCAAGATTTTATTTTTAGAATTTTATTCTAATCGTATAAGACAATTCTATATCATCTTAGAAGATTCATTACAATCATGCATAAATTAGTCTAGTCATTAAGAAAAGTAATTAAGGTTAGATTAATTTATTATATCATATTGGAAAATCACAAGATCATCCTAGACAATCAGTAAGAAAAACCTTAGTCTTATCTTAAATCACCTTGATGTCCCGAACTATCTGCTGGATGATAAATTATAATTCCTCAACATCTAGTTTTTTCTCCTGGATGACCCAAACTATTTCCTGGATAATAGTCACTAATTTTGAATAAATCATATAGGACAATACAAGCATCATCCTGGATGATAACTTATATTTATTCATTGTCCAATATGTATATTTTGGATGTCCCAAACTATCTGCAGGATAATATGTATGAATTTGAACTAATCATACAGGATGATACCTGCATTATCTATCATAATTAGAATAAATAATGTCTTCTAATCATACAGTAGACCTAGATCATCCTGGTTGGAAGGGCTGAATTATACTAATCGTGCAGGATGATATATCAATCATCCTGGATGATCTTTGATGTCAAGTTAAAAATTAGGGCAATTTTTAGGCCTTTTTTATAAGATATCTTATTTAATAATGAGATCATCTTTTGCTATTATCCTGACCTGTGAGAGCTTATAGAAGGAGAGGGGGAGCTTGGGGGGGAGAGAGAGAAAGAGAGAGAGAGAGAGAGAGAGAGAGAGAGAGAGAGAGAGAGAATCTTTTTAGGTGAAGTTTATGAGGTGTTCATAAAGGTTGCTACAAGAAACTATTTAAGTCATCTTCTCCATTCGTTATCCTTGGTTCCTTGGTGGCTCTAGAGAGGTCTTCATTAGCATTAGATCAAGGTTCTCTATCTGCTTACGGATGAAGCAAAAGGAATAGGGTTTCTCTGCTTGCTTCAGGAGGAAGTAAAATAAGTCAAGGTTCTCTGCCTCACCAGGGTCACTAAAAAGAGTTTCTAAGGGCTTCTCCACCTTGCTATGGGAAAAAAATGGAGAGGCACTGTGGTTTAGTGCAATACCTAGATGAGAGTCTCCATGGAGTGGACGTAGTTCAAGTTAACCAAACCATTATAAAATTTGGTGTGTTCTTTCTATTTTATTCCTACACTTTATTTTTTACATTTTAGTTTCTGTTGTTTCTTGTATGGTAGAAATCTTTGATTTATTTTGTTAATTACTTTTATATCAAGAGTTAATCTTATTTGTTTTAAAATATTCAAAAAGGTTTCAATAAGATTTTTTTATTTATTTATGAAATTTTAAAACTACCAATTCAACCCCCCTGGTTAGCCTTAGGCTAGTTCATAAGGACTTAAAAAAATCTAAAAAAATTTCAAGTTGTATCAAAGCGGGATTCATAAAATTAAGTTTTAGAAAACTTAATGAAATGGAAAGAGGATTTGACATTTTCCTTAGTTGACATACATCACATAGGTGGTACTCAGTCATTTTAAGCTTGAGAATTTCTTTTGCTAGGTCTTTTTGGGTTATGTTTCTAAGTGTTTTCATGCTAGCATGACATAATTTCCTATGCCACTTTCTTTTGCTAAGTCTTTTTGGGTTATGTTTCTAAGTGTTTTCATGCTAGCATGACATAATTTCCTATGCCACAACCAAGACTTATCAACAGTAGTTTTTTAAATAAAAAGAATCTGCATATTCAATATTATTTAAATCAAGCATGTAGACATTATTAATCATTCTTTATTGCAAATTAGTTTTATTATTTAAGCTTATAATACATATGTTTTAGAAAAAATTTTATGCTAAAGCCTCTATCACAAAGCTGACTAATGCTGAGGAAATTATGTTTCAAGCCATCAATAACTAAAACATTTTCAATCAAAAGGTTCTTTGAGTTTTCTATTATACTTGTACCCACCTCTTCCCTGGTGGTGTTGTCTCCAAGAGTGACGTTGCATTTAGCCCTTACCTCTTGCAAAATAAATTGATTAGCATCTCCAGTCATATGGCATGTGTATCCACTATCCAGGTACAACATAATCTCATGAGGTCTTGTGTGAGAGCACAATTATAAAATCATCAAATATTATATTTACGAACCCAAACAAGTTTGGGTCCCTTCTTATGGAAAGAATAATGCAATGAAGGTGTGACAGAGTTTGAATCATGCAATTTGGGTCTCCACAACAAATGTGTTCTATAGTGAATAGTGCATGTATGGAAAATATGACTTAGCATGCGACATGAAAAATATCTTACACCAGAAAAAGGGTTTACTAATCTACTTGGGTTATGTTGCCTCGTCCTAGGTTTGAATGATACATGATGATTTGATTGATTGTTAAACTCAAACATTATGGGTAGTTTTCTATTTTCTTTATAAGCAGTTAATTGAGCTTCTAAAAACTTATTCAAATTTTCAATAACTAAAATTTTTATTTTCAAAGCATGCTCCTTACTATCTAAATCTGTAGCAAGAGTATTTATGTCCTTATATGCAGTTTCTAGCTCAACATCTAAACTTTTCAGGGAATCATTCTCATTAGTTAATACAGAATACTTTTATCCAAAGCATCAAATTCATCTAATAATGTTATGTGATTGTTATAAAGTGTAGAATGGTCTTTAATCAAAAACTTCATGCTCTTTTTATAAGTTAAGAAATTCTAGTTTCAGGTTAGCATGCAATTTTTTAAGCTTTCTATACATATTAATGAATTTTCTCAAGATAATTAAGCAATTGATTATATATTAATTCACATTCCTCTTCCTCGTTAGAATGACCGAGATGTTCATCCACCATAAAATATAAGTTTGTTGTCTCCTCTTTAGCTTTAGTCTCAAAGGTGCTAAATGTAGAATCTGTCTATAAAGCATTTTTTTGATTTGTTTCTTTTCCTTCCTTAATTTAGGTTTTTCCTTGCATGGGTGAGCCTTAAGTTTCAGTCAACCAGCTTTTACATATCACAACTTCCTACATTCAAAGCAAATCATATCATAAGAACCTTTAGAATTATTGTTATTCTTACCTTTATTCCATTTCTGAAGGTGCTTTTGTTTCTTCCTTAATAAGCTCTTAAATTTCTTAGTAATTAAGATAATGTCAACACTTTCAAAACCAGAAGAATTAGTATATGTATGATTAGCCTTTAAGGCTACAATTTTTCCTTCATTTTCTCTCCTGCATCAAGTTGTCTTTGGTTCACTCCTTACTCTTAAGCAATGAATGATCCAAGTAAGTTATCTATAGAATAAACATTCAAATCCTTGGACTCAGTTATAGAGTAATCTTAGAATTTAAGGAAGAAGGTAAACATCTCAAGATTTTATTCACTTTTTCATTTTTTTTTTGTTAGTTCTCTACCTAAGGCATGTATGGAGTTGACTATTTGTTTAAACCTAATATACATTTTAGATATTGATTTACTAGGTTTTATGCAAAAATGTTCATAGTCATGAAGTAAAATATTTAACCTAGATTGCTTAAATTCACATATGCCTTCACAAGTAACACATAATATATCTCATATTTCTTTACCAGTAGCATAAGTTGAGACATACATGTAATCTTCATATTTCAGTGCATAGAAAAAGTAGTTCAAATATTTTGCATTTATATTTTTTTGGGAGCCCTGTGTGCATTTCGGTTAGAGAGAGAAACTCCAGGTTTTTCGGTTAGAGAGAGAAACTACAGAGAAATTCAAATTTCTTTCCCGGTTTTTGTTCCTGCTTTTCTAAAAGGGCGGGAGAAGATGGCGGCGGAGAGTCGCCGGCCTTCTCAATTGCCGGCGACCAGACCTCCTTCCTTTATTGGTAATTCTAAGATTAATTCAAAGATGAACAAGAAGTTATCGTCTCCTTTGGGTGGATAGTATCTCAAGGAGGTTTTTTCAAAAAGTTGAATATGAAAAGGTAGCCAACCTTTGCTTAGAATGTGGAGTTATTGGGCACCTGATGAATGATTGTGGTAAAATCTATAATAAATCCGGCTCTGATAAATTGGGAGCTAGCTTTACTTCAGATGTTGATAGCAGAATTAAAGAGCATATTGCTGCATATAAACCAACGTATGGACCATGGATTTTTGTCTATAATAAGAAAGGGAGAAAGCCATTTCATAAGAGCATTGCAGTCAAATCCAGCAAAGCTATATTTGTTAAGAAGGTGGGAAATGAAAACGTAACTATGGAAGAAGGAAATGATGGAGCTGATGGCAGATTTATCACCCCAATAGAAGATCCAGTTATGAGTAATGAAGACCAATTAGAAGAAGGAGAGCTGATTCCAGACAAGGAGCAGCCTATTATAGAGAAGAGCAATCAAGTTGAAGAAGGCAGAGATTGTTTCTCTAAGGATAACAAGGAGGGACCGATGTATTAGGAAACTGATGTTAAATCCGGTAAGGATTCGAATAAAAGGCAGGACAATGCTGATAATGGCAAAAATATTTTTTCAAATATTAAGTTGGGAGCTAATAAAATTCCTATTGGTGATTCTAGCAAAGTTAAATTAGCTAAGGAGCTGAAGTCTCTGGGCCCTATAAAGAACATTCCAAGAGGAAGGAATTTTGATGGTGGAGGTAACAAGAGGAAGGAAGGGGGGGCATCCCCAAGGTTATTTTAATGAATTCCATAATGTTTTGGAATTGTAGAGGGGCCAAGAAGAAAGAGGCCTCTCTATATCTCAAGGAGGTAGTTAAAGACCATGATACTTTTTTGTGGGTTTGGTGGAAACTAAAATCAATTCTTTTGATAAAGTTTCTTTAAATAACATTATGGGTGATGATTGGGACTTTTATATCTATCCATCTAAAGGGCTATCAGGTGGAATTATGATTCTTTGGAGAGCTGATGTAGCTTGTTTCTCAGTTTTGAAGGAAGACGATCAATGTATTATTGGAGATCTCAATATCTTCGATAAGGGGGAATGGATGATTGCTACCGTATATGGCAATAAAGATGTTATGAAGAGGAGAGAACTATGGAGTAATCTGGATGAGATGTCCAATAGAAAGCTTCCTTTCATTGTTGGGGGAGATTTTAATTGCATCTTGTCACAAGATGATAAGAGGGGTGGAAGAAAATTTGCTTTTTCTCAAGGCCCTAAAGAAATGGCTGATTTCTTAAATATGAATGACCTTCATGATGTGGGATTTGTTGGTCAAAAATACACTTGGTGCAATAACAAATCAGGAGGGGATCACATACTCGAGAGGTTGGATAGATGTTTCCTAAACTATATTGCCATCAACATGATAAATAATGCAGTAGTGAGACATCTTGCAAGGGTAGTGTCCGACCATTGCCCTATTGTATTGAAGATCCTTGATAATCCATTTCAAAAGTTTGGGATTATCAAATTCGAAGATGTGTGAATTTCTTTCAAAGCTTCCTCTCTTATTATTCAGAGAGTTTGGAGAAAGACTTTCCAAGGCAATGACATGGAGATTCTCAAAAAAAAATGTAGAAGAGCTTTGAAGGATTTGTTTTATTGGAGCAAGGCAAGGATTAAGGATTTCTCTTTAGAAAAGGAGAAGTTGAAAGAATAAATTTCTCTTATTCAAGAAGAAGAAGCTTCGGTTGGGTGGTTATCTAATGAAAAACTTTGGGAGCTCAGATCTAAAGTTTTTAAACTTAATTCTGTTCTTTCTAGACTCAATACTTATTGGAGACAAAGAGCTAAAGCCAAATGGATTGTGGAAGGCGATTCTAACTCTAAATTTTTCCATTCTTTTGCTAACTCTAGGAGGATTGGAAAAAGGATTTTTCAAATCAAAGATGTAGATGGTGCCATTTCTGAAGATCCCGTTGTGTTAAAACAAATTCTTTTTCAGTTTTTTCAAAAAAAGTGGAAGTAGAGGGAATGTTGTATGGACAAATGGCCGAATCCTGTAAATGTTCTAGATGAGATGGACAGAATTATGCTGGAAAAACAGATTTCAGATGAGGAAATCCTGGAGGCTATCAAAGGGCTTGGCAACAACATATCACCGGGACATGGTGGTATCACTTACTCCTTTCTCAAACACTATTGGAAAATTGTTGGTTTTGATGTTTGCAAGGCAATAAAAGAATTTTTTACATCAGGTATCATGAGTATTAGTTGGAAAGAAACTCTTATTGCCTTGATACCTAAAATTTCTAATCCTTTATCTCCTGAAGATTTTCATCCTATTAGCTTGTGTAACTCCATCTACTAAGTTGTTGCTAAGGTGTTACTAAATAGGCTTTTGTTGGTTATTCATAAACTTATCTCTGAAAAACAAGTTGCCTTCATGAAAGGGAGGAGCATCTTAGAACATATTCTTTTGGCTCAGGAGGTTTTTAATAAAATAAGGATTTCTAAATCAAAAGAAGGTATGGTGGCCATCAAGATAGATATGGAACAAGCCTATGATAGTATGTGTTGGAGCACTCTTGAAGGAGTTTTGAAGAGCTCGGGTTTTCCTGAAAGATTCATTAGGCTTATCTTGGAATGTATTGTTGAGCCCAGATTTTCTATCATCATCAATGGGAACTTGACTAATTGGATTGAAGGGAAGAGTGGTTTTCGTCAGGGATTTCCATTATCCCCTTTTCTTTTTATCCTTTGTTCCCAATTGATTTCTAATGCTTTTAATCAGGAAGGGAAGGATTTAGGCATTAAAGTGGCTTCTTCTGGTAATGCTATTTCTCATTTGCTTTATGCAAATGATATCCTTCTTTTCTCTAAAGCTAAGATCAGTAGTATCAAGGAGATGAAGATCATTTTGAGCAACTACTGTGGATGGACAGGGCAAAAGATTAATCTTAAAAAATCTTCCATGATTGTTAGCAAAAATGTTGATAGAAGAATGAAAAAAAAAGATCAAAAAAATTATGGAGTTCAAGATGATTGAGGACATGGATTATCTGGGTACTAAATTAGCTTTGAGAAGACTAAAAAAGACTGATTTTCAATTTCTATTGGATAAAGCATTGAAGACTTTAAATGCTTGGAGCAATAGATATATTTCTATTGTTGGAAAGCTTGTGCTTATCAATTCGGTTTTCAGCAATTTGCCTCTTTATTTAATATCTCATTCCTTAATCCCTCTTAGTGTGTTGAGGGAATTCAAAAACTTATGCAAAAATTACATATGGAAGAATCAAGATGGTAAACAGGGAATGCATTATATAGCTTGGGATGAGCTTTGCAAGCCAAGAGCAAACGGTGGCTGGGGGATTCATTCTGCTGTCAACAGTATTCAAAATCTGAGAGCGAAATTCTCTTTGAATCTGGTTTCTACTCCTAACTCCTTCCTAAATAGAAATTTATTAATCAAATATGGTGAAGACTGGTGGAAGAAAGAAGTGATTAAAGGAGGTTCTACGGCTTGGAAAATATTTGCTAGTGGCTGGAAATCTATGAGGAAAATTATAAGGTGGAATGTGGTAAATGGGATGCGAATTAATGTCTTGAAAGACATATGGATTTTTGATAAAATCCTTCTCAAATGGCCTGCTTTTATCGCCCCTTTTGATGAAGATGATTTAACTTTGAATTTTTTTAACCTGGATGGCCATTGGGACATTGAAAAATTACTTCTTTTCTTTGGAAAAGAATTGGTTTGTGTTATTTCTAGCATTCCTATTATTAAGGAAGGAGATGAGGATTTTATGGATTTAAAATACAAATTGACTGGAAAATCTATTGCTGCTATGATCAAAGAAGACTCAACTAAGGTTCTTGAGGGGAGCTCTTACTTATGGATTCATAAATTGAATCTGTACTCAAAGGTGGAATTTTTCATTTGGAGGCTTTGTAAAAATTCTATTCCAACCTCTGATTTTTTATTCAAAAGAAAATTATCTATTGATAACAAATGTCCAAGAGGCTGTGGAGGTATTGAAGATGTAGATCATATTTCTACAAAGTGTCCCAATCTTCATAAAGTTATTGGCGTTCTTCGTGATTGGGGATTTCTAGTTCCATTCTTTGATTCATTTCAACATTGTTTAGAAGAAGCTAAAAAAAGTCTTGAGAAGAATCCTGGGTTGATAAAGCTTTACTTTACTTTATTATGGTTTTCTTTGAATGATAGAAATAAGCTAAAGCACGGTAAGAAGGAAGATACTGTTTTAACATTGGCTTCCAATGTTATTAGCTTGATTGGTCTTGATAGAAGGAAGAATTTACTCTCGGACAACTGGGATGCTCTTCAATCCTTTGGATTGTCTTTTGATTCATGGCATCCTCCACCCGAGTGGTACAAGATCAATATTGATGCTGCACTAAAAAGCAATTATGGAGCTGGAATTGGAGGAGTTGTAAGAGACTATAGAGGAAGAATGATTCGTGCTTTTGGCTTCTATGGAATGCATTGGGATATTTCTCAATTGGAGCTTTATTCATTCTATTCTTTGAAGTATTTGTTACACAATTGTTTGGATGAAGCCAAAGGTGTCATCATCGAAGGAGACAATAAAAATGTTATTCATTTTCTTCAAGAATTGTATAGCAAAGGAAATAATAAGGTTGGAATCAAGGAAGACGAAGACTTCTTTGGGTTAAGGTATGGGAGTAATATCATTTTTAATTGTATTAGCATAAGAGGCAATAGGGTAGCTGATATTTGTGTTAACCTTTCCTTTTCGTATGACTTCATTTGGAATGATTTTAGTGAGAGCTCTCTTCCTCCTTCCTTTGTTAAACTTATAATGGAAGAGTGTAGTTTGAAGGAAGATCTCTATTAGTTTGCTGTTTGTTCTTGGTTTTTAATTAATTCAATGCAATTGCATTTCCTTTAAAAAAAAAATATTTTGCATTAAGTTGTGCTCTATCCCTATAATCAAAATTCCATTGAAAAAATGGAAGTTCAGTTTTGATACCATTTATTTCACATGTTGGTGCAAAATAACCTTCTTTTACAAGCATCCGCATATGATAATCTATAGATTATAAAAAAGTTGACATGCAAGTTTTCTAGAAATAAAAAGGTATATTATCAAATAAGGGTGGATGAGTAATAGAATACCCTTGTGTCATGTTCTGGTTACCAAAGTTGGCCATTGATCAAAATTCTTTAGATGTCCTTTACAAAAATTTATTTGGAACTATTAATACTGAAAGCTTAAAGGGAAAGGTCTTTGGACTTGTAATATTTGATGACTACTCGAGGTTTACTTTGATTAGATTTTTGTCACATAAATTCAATAAATTTAAATTATTCTTCACTTGGATTAAAAAAAAAACTCGGTTGTGAAATCTTGACTATCTATAGTGACCATGGTGGAGAGTTTCAAAATGAGAGATTTGGAACTTTCTCTATGGAGCAAGAGATTAGCCATAACATCTCTACACCTAGGACCCCTCAGTAGAACATAGTAGCTGAAAGGAAGAACAGGACCTTAGTGGAAGCCTCTAACGCCACGTTTATTAAATATTCACTTCCAAAATACATTTGGGCATAAGTGATGAACACAACTTATTATGTATTGAATAGGGTAAATATTAGATCCAAACAAAATAAGAAACCCAATGAGATCGTTAAGGGTAGGACACCCAACCTTTCTCACCTCCATGTCTTTGGTTGTATGGTTTTCATTCTAAATAATGGGAAATAACTCTTAGGAAAATTTGACCCAAAATCTGATGGAGTGTTCTTAGGATAGTTAAGTGTAGGGAAATCCTTTAGACTGTTTAATAAGAGGGCATTAGTGGTGGAGGAGATTACTCATGCAGTATTTATTAATTTTAATTATGAGAAGTCTAGAGTTTAAGAAGAAGATGAAGTATTTGAGATTACCCAAGGAGTAGAAATTACAAATCTGGAGGAAATGATAGAACCTCAAAATACTGATAAAGTAGGTGAGATTACGCATGGAGTAGAATCTACCAATCTCGAGGGAGGGGTAGAACCTCAAAACACCTTTTCTAGAGATTGAAGATATTCTTCGAGTCATTCTAAATAATTGATTTTAGGATACTCTTCTAAAGGTGTTAGAATTAGGCATTGACATATAAAATTTTTAACCACTCTACCATCATCTTAATGACTGAACTCATCAGCATCAATCAAGTCCTTTCTGATGAATTCTAGATCCTAATTATGCAAGAGGAACTAAACCAATTTATTAGAAGTGATGTCTAGGAGCTAGTAGAAAGACCTAAGGATCAAAGTGTAGTAAAAACAAAATGGGTCTTTAAGAATAAAATGAATAATTTTAATGTGGTGGTTAGGAATAAGGCAAGATTGGCGGCTAAGGCGTATAATTAAATAGAAGGGATTGATTTTGAGGAAACTTTTTCCCCTATAGCTAGATTGGAAGCAATTAGAGTGCTCCTAGCCTTTGCCTATTATAAGGGATTTAAACTTTTCCAAATGAATGTCAAGAATGCCTTTTTGAATAGGGT